GGGTGGGGTGGGGGACAGACACTCACTTGGAATGCAGGTCATTTAACTTGTTCAATGCTAGAATAAAACATTATACAACACCCTCCCCCTCCTCACAGTGTGTCAAATGCTTGTTTTCTTTGAGAAGAGAGTAGGATGCCCTATGGCTAGAGTCAGAAAACATGTCTTTGGCAGCCTTCCTGGTTTTTTTTGTTGTTGTTTTTCTTCCTCCCAGTTGAACTTGAATCTGAGCCTTGATGCTTTAGAGTCCTAGGATTTCAGAGTTGGGTAGGAGATGGCTCATGGGAGAGATCGCATCTTGGTCCCCAACCCCTTAGCTGCCAGGAAGAGATGGCAGAAAAATTATGAAATCATACTGTCAGTATAGGTTGGTAGAGTCTCATTCTTCCTCAAGTAGTTACTGGAAAAACAGGAGTGCAGAGAACCAAGGCTTCCCATAGCTCAGACATGCCCTTGGGCCAGAAGTCCTTTGTCAAAGGATATTATGTTAGTTCAATAACTGTATAAATATCAGTAAGAAAGTGACAAGGATAAGGTTTAGCATGAAATTGGAGCCTCATCTTGTAACTTAGGAAAGTAAGGGCACACAGTGATGTTTAAAAAAATATTCAAAGACCCAGTAGCATGTGTCCAGGAAGACTGGCTGCTGCTGGGTGCTCACAGGATCTAGGCTCTTACATATAGCCTGTAAAGATGGCTTGGAATAATTCCTCCTCTTTCTCAAAGAGGCAGAGGCTCCAACATTTTGGAGAGGTCGCAGTGGTGGTCCTGACTCCCACCGTGTGGGAGAGAATACATTTTACCTGCCCTCCAAAGAATGAGTTAGAGCCTGTGGTGCCAATGCTGGCCAAATTCGAGTTCCTGAGACAGAGAGATCAGGAGGAGCCTGAGAATCTCACCTCAAACCATTTGCCCGAGGTATTGACAGTGGAGAGTTTGCACGGCCCTTTCCCTTCTCCATGCCCTGGATGTGCCTGGAGGTGCTGCAGGCAGTATTGGTTGCTTGAGCTGATGACTCATATGTCTTAAAGTCTCCAAGTCATTTTTTATGGGGACACAGAAATTCCTGCTCAATAGCTGCCCTATGTTCATTGATTTCTTTGTTTGTTGTTTCCCTAGAGATGCCAGTTTGGCAACACCCAAGGCTGCCTCTCCTCTGATTCAAATCTTGGAGACTTTCATCCGTAACCACACAAAGCCCCAGGGCAGTTTTTTTGTGCTTCCCGCATTTAGTGTAATTCAGTGGATAAACTTGCTAAGCCACCTGATTTGAATAAAGTCCATTATTCCTCCTGGAAGAGCTCAGGATGGGGTCAATACCAATGGGAGCCAACTCTTCAGCCTCCTCTCCCACTCAGATACCTCAAGGAAGAATGAAATTAATAGAAGGAACAGAGCAAAGTGGATGAGGATAGAATTTAAGAGGTTGTTGTGCTTGCTAGGATGGTGGCCAAATAGGGCCACTTTGGAACATCACGTAAACCCCTTAATAACCTTCCTCCACAGTATCTAGAGCAGGGTTGGGCAATGCGGTTTTTTCCCATATTTTTACTTTAAGCAGAATACTTAATATATATTGGCACAGCTCTGATGTTTGAATGCTAATCATTATGCAGAAATGTTTCAATGCACACACCACTCACATTAGCATTTACTTTCTTTTGCTGCATTTTTATACCTAGGATAAACCTGGTTTAATATTCCATTAAATTTTTTTTAAGCCACTGTAACTTTGTTTAATTTGGTTGCTGAAAAAGTTCTACTTTGGTATAATCTTGTGTTTTGTAACCAAGATCGCTTTTAAGAAGGCACATTCTTATCAGAGATAATTTGGAAAAGCTGCAGGTTGTTCACTGTTTGGTACTATAGTAATGATTATCTTGAACTTACATTTTAGGGTCCTCCTTGTTTCACTTAGCATGCATCCTAAGTGTTGTCTATATTGTTACATAATCACGTGGTTTTCTTTTATTTATTTATTTTTATTATACTTTAAGTTCTAGGGTACATGTGCACAACCTGCAGGTTTGTTACATATGTATACATGTGCCATGTTGGTGTGCTGCAC